GTGCCACCTACATTTGTGTTCAATATGTTCAATAACTAGGTGGGTGAAGATTACAAATATTTTCATTTCATCTTTATTCTGATGGATTTGAAAGAATTCAACCATCTGTTTCGTCCCATTAGTGATTTGAACCCTCCCTACACTACGCTGTGTCGTGACTAACCCATTGCTTGGCCTGCAATTTGTTGACTCATGTTTGGTTTGAATAAAATGAAATCCCATGATATGTTCAGACTTTTGCAGCAGTTTTTAAACATTGTTTGAAAAACATTCATACGAGGATTGCTACAGTAGTCCTGTTACTTTAATGTCATTTACAACAATTGTTGTAACGTTTGCATAAAAACAGACCAAGCTGTCTTTTGTCTTGGCCTTCATGATCATACACACACAGGCTGAATACACATGCACAAAAGAATCCTATGGATTTTTCACACTAATGGAGAGATGTCAGAGTGATAGCGGCCCACAGCGAGCGCTCCTGAGCTCTGGTGAGTTTGGTGACTTGTCTACAAGGAGTGTAACACCCGAGTCCCACTGTCTGTGATGTTTTCAGAGTTTTCAGAGTCCTATCTTCAGTTTGTTGACATAGGCAGCCCGGCCGGCTGACTCCTCCCCTCACGTATAAAAGGAATTGATCTGGCACCTCTCCAGCTACCAGACCAACTTCCATATATGGTCCACACTGGGACTTCAACCGGCGACCCTCCGGTTCCCAACCTAAGTCCCTACAGACAGAGCTACTGCCGCCCAACATTGATATCGATGTGATTAAGGTTCAAAAATATTATATTCATGTCTTTTGTCACATTAATTGTGTCTTATTATGTCCCTATGTGCGTCATAGTAAAGCCACCTTCCTGCTTCAAGAGTGAGGGAAAGTAACGACTAAGCTGCATCTTTGAGTGGCTCATATCACTTTACAAAGCTCACTGACAGCTCAGTTGATAAGTAAAAAGTAATATTCACCTTGTCACATCAAACATTTCACCCTTTAAACGTTCCATTACGCTATTTTAGTTAACTTTGCCATCCGTAGCAAGTTCCTTTTTCCTTGTTTTAATCAATGCTGTAACTTTCGACCTACTGGAAGTTCCATGTTTTCTTTCACAACAAAAGCAGGTTTTATCCAGACAGGAAGTAAAGTACCTTTAGCTGAAGATATTACAGAATACAAAATAAAAGGGGTTTGAAAGATGAATTTAGTTAAATAACAAGAAGATCATGTATAAGCAGCAAACCTGTTTAACAGTAAACATGGCGGGGGCTCCAGGGAAACTCAAGCCCCTCCACACACAAGGACTGCTGTCACCGTGTCCTAACTGAGTGTGATGCAATAGTTTGATGCTTGCTGTTAAAACATGTTCAAGAAAAAGGGAAACACTCGCAGCCTGCTAGCTCATATTGTTAACCCAGCTTGTATTACAGCCCTGATACCTGCAGAATATGAACATCATCAGTTCACCCCTCAAGTTAGACTCTGTTTCAAAATATTACTAAAGCTGCTTCATGTTGTCTGAAAAAAGTAGGTGTAGACAAGATCATTCTATTTAAAACCTTTGAGTTCAAGGTACACATCTGATCTCTGTATATACAAAGGTTTGAGCAGAACCATTAATTCCCCCACCCATAGGCCTCTGATCTCTTAATTTCTCTCGGATTGAATATCCAAATATAGTGCTGCAATGAACAGATAGTCATTGAGCTTTCAAACTTTTAGTCCACAGCGGAGATACTCAAAGGAAATCCTACAAAAAGCCAACCTGTAAGTCACATCATTCATCATTAATGACGGTGAATCAGATCAAAGAGTAGATGAATTGAGCTTTTCAGCTTTCAGCAGGCGCTGCAGGTACAGTCGTGCCTCATACTGTCCATGCCACCTAGTCCAAGCACAAAGGGAAAAGAGCTTGACAAGTGAGCGCATGACAGAGAAGATTATGTTGAGTTCAGAGGTCACTTTTCTTTAATGTGCAAACCCTCTCAAATTCCTTTTATTGCTGTCGGAGAGACAGCCAAAGCCTAAGTTTAATGCGATAGAATGAAGGTCCCCATTGGTTTTAAAATATGCAAAGAAGTACATGCTAACATTAACCGCTGCCTACATTATTTATCCATCTGAAAAGTGTTTTATCAGCACTAGGCATGCTTTACTTTACTTTTAAATATTCAAATTAGAGAGGAACTAAAAGATCTACTGTGCAAAAAAGGCAGTTTAACTTTTCATTTTAAAATTAAGTTCACATATTTAATATGTTTGGTTAGAAATGGTTCGGTTTATTGCATATTCTGTGGAGCAGCATTTTTTAAAGGAACTGCTGGAGGCCTAACCCTCCTCAGTGATCAATATTTTTTTAAACAGAGCTGAGAAAGAGTTGAGCTGATGATCGTTCAACTTTTTAGGGAGACAGTCAGTTTTGACTTTGTGAAAAAGTAGGATGTCTTCAATGTTTTTACATTATAATTATATTTACAAAACAGCTAGTAGCTTGTTAGCTAACCAGCTTTGTTGAAACATGTGAATCCAAGGATTTTTATGTATGCAATAACTATATTCCATAAAATGTGTTCCATTTAAAGCACTTCAAATCCATTTTCAAATGTATGAGATCATAAACTTAAAGATAAATCTTCACAATCTACTTTGTGTCTAATCTTGTTTTTAGTGGATGTTTCCTCAGCTTTGTTAAGATGGCAGGAGGTTTAAGAGGGAGAGGGAAAAAGCTTTTACTGTGGTTTACTTTGGCCATACATCTTTGGGTTTACTAAAAACTGAAGGCTGTTCTTTGCTCTATGGCCCTCCATCTTCCCCCCTCGCTCTTTATTCCCTAACACCCATCGCAAATGTGGTCTGGTATGTGCCTGCTAATTTATCCTTTCAATGCATGATATCCTGTCATCTCCTCATTTGTCCCTGAGTGTTTCTAATCTGAGATAATCCCAGTCAAATCCGTTGATTGTGAGTTTGGACCTGATCCATCTCTAAAGAAGCAATTTAATGGGCTTCATGGCACTTGGTGTAAAGTCATTTATCTAGTGGATTGGATGTGAATGCTTGTTTTAATAAGTGCTTGTCACTAATAGAGGGAAATGTGCCATTTAATTAGGCAGAGTGTAGACCTATGCCATCCCCACAACTTCAAGGATTTTGGTATTCTTGTAGGCTCGGCTTCAAGCCGGCAGAGAACAGCTGGCAAAAAACAAGTAAAATCCAGCTTTTCCTTCAGCATTTCTGTGGATATCAAGAGATTGTGCACCACCATGACGTAAAGCATTCAGAGCTTACACTCTGGTTCCCCATTTCAAGGTGAATAGTTGTCATTACTAAACCTTTTAGCCGCGCAGCAATAACCGAAAATAATAACATCTCATCCACCCAAAAAACCATCTAATTCAAAAATTAAAAACACATCTTCCCTTATTTCAGGTAAGAGCATTTTAGGAACATTGTGAAACTTGCTAAACATTTTGTCATCTCCCTCATACCAAACACAGAGTCAACTTCTCGTTTGTTTCCCCCACCCTCTAAGGTGATGCCACACCAATGAGGGAATGTAATACTGATTTTGTGGTTTCACCTTGCTTTATTTTGTTTTCATTTCAAGAATCGGAAGAAAAGAACTTCAACACTGTAAAGTTTAAAGATAAATAAAATTATCACTTAAAAACATGCAGGGTAGATGCTGCTGTGATAGCAACAACTTTTGTTCGGAAGAGTTAGGGAGTAAAGTTACATTGTTTTTATATTTATCCTGTCAAAGTTCACTGACTTAGTGTTTACAGTTCTTAAAGTTTAAGTGGCAAACAACGATTGTCAGTTAAACGTGTTCAGCGACCTGCCACAGTGCCAGTAGTCCATGGCTATAAGCAGAGGTGTAGTGGTGCCTAAAGAAGTGGGTATACTCTGAAGTATTCACCCAAAGTGGTGAGTCCAGCAGAGTCTAAACAGCCTATGATGTAAACAGTGACATGTAAGACTACTCTTACATATTTAGTTCGTGCACACTTTCCAATTAGAGACAGAGTAGGGAGGGTCATCCCTTCACCTTCCTCAGAAAATAATTGCACAATACTACTGAATATCATCAATCAATCAATGATTTAGAAGTGTGTATACCCAAAGGAGACGGAAAAACAAGTAGGTATACTTTTTATACCGGCGTATACCCTGCACTACACCACTTTCTAAAAGCTCATTTTAGTTATCATTTGAGTGTTTTATCTCGTATCGCCTTTAGCATTGTTGTTTCTTTTCTATTCTTTCTTCAATCAGGCAGGTGCTGAATACACTTCAAACACTACCAACAAGCTATAACATTACGGTCAGCTCTGATTCAGGTTGAAAAAGAACCAAGAAAGAACTGTTTGACAAAGCAGGGTCATTAAGAATCTCATACAGCTTTTTTCTATGAGATCATTGAAGCACTTTTATGTTTTATTTTCAAATTTAAAAAAATAGAATACTGAAATTATTTCATGACTGACGACTCCCCCCCCCCCTCCATATTGTTATCAAGACATTTTCCTGAGACAGAACCGTTGTGACCTGAAAACATAAAATGTCACAAAGAAACCACAACCTGTTATTGGGTACATTTCCTTTAGTATTTGTATTCAGTCAATATGCAGTAAGATGCGGAAATTCCTCAAATCTGTTTGTCATTTCCCAGCAGTGAGCATACATGATTACTTGTTGCAACACAGTGTTGTTTTTAGCAGAGCTGTCTTTGCTCTTACATGCTCCTGTTTTATTTTCAGCCTTCATCTATTTTCACATAAAACAAAGAGAAGTATGCTCCTAACACATATAGAATCCACTTCTTTGGCGTTTTAAGACCTTCGATTCCCGAATGATTCACAACTTCTGATAGGCAGCCTTTATAAAAAAATACACCAAGTTTCCTTTTTTTCTTCACCATGTGGCTTCCTGCTCTGACGTGCCTGCACTGTGCAGCTGTGATTGGCTGTTTTTTTCTTTAACACTTCCTCAAATACAAAAACACAGGATACAGCTGAGATTGAGTGCAGTAATCGAAGGTCTAGTTCTTTACTACTAAACTTCTATTTGGACACATAGATTAGTTTTCCAGCTGCTCATATAACCTCAGTGGGAGAACACAGAGGAATGTTAACAGGAAGTAGAGCAAACAGCAGGAATTTGAGGGTTCAGAAGGGAAGAGAAGAAGTAGTCTCAAAGCCACAACAAAGAGGGAAAAATGGGCAGTGAGTACAAATCACTGTCGCCAGCTGGCTCATGCAGAAGTTTGTCCGTCGGTATGTACAAAAGTTATTACCCTCTGCTTTGTATGGAACATAATATACACTAAAGAATTAATTTTGTACATGTTTGAGTTAGCCCTCCACTGATTATGCACATCAACATTTCTGTCAGTCTGTCACAAAGAGAACATCTCAGCCTGGGAGAGAAAAGGTAGCCACTGTGGAAGTAAAGCTAACTTGGTATAGCACCTTTCACAGAGCAAGGTCACAAAATGATCATCAAATGCTTGACTTATAACATTTCAATTATAAAAGTCATTTTTATTTATTTCATTTTTTTATGTCTATGCTGTGTTTACACCTAATGTTCCCACTTTGTTGGTATTTAAGACCTCTTCAAAGTTGAGTTTTTGAAAAGCTGAAGATTCTTTTTCAGATTGATTTTCAGTTTGCACCAGTAGAAATAGTCCCTTTATGATGCTCTAGTCTCCCCTGGTTGCATAATTCTGCATGTACATGAACATCATCATGTACAATTAGAAATAGTGTCAGGTGAATAGTCAGTAAATCCATCCTTCAAAGAGTTTGTTGAAATTAAAAATATCAGGAGATAATCATTGGATGAAGAGAAACTCACTGATTTAGATGCTTTGAGAGAGTTTTGGATTCTTGATAAGGTGCAACTAATTAGCAGGCTAATGTTCTTGCTCTGTGTTAAGTCTCATTTTGTCACGTTGATAACATTTCAAGCTCAAATGACAGAGAACATGTCAGGTGAACATTAGTTTGTATAATAACAATCCTATCTTCAGTCTAGAGGTGCTCTTGGCCTGTGCTTCGAATTCATGACGGCTGTGGTGTTAACTTACCAATCCCCCAACCCCCACTCAACCCCACCCCCCACTGTAGCCAGATGGCTGTCACACAGGCGGCTCCTCGCCTGGACCATGCTGATTTCCCATCATTCTTTAGTTAATGAGGTCGTTAGCAATGCAACGGACAATTAAATTATCTCAATCTGGCATTTCTCCTCATTTGTTTACTGTATGCTGCACTGTACAGTGTTTGAAACCCATCAAATAATGTTGCTTCTGTTGAGATCATGGCTTTTGTTTCTTTTCTATGATTCATCTCCCTGATACTGAGCTGCAGGGAATTAAAACATCTCTGACAGACGCCCACAACTAAAGCTGTTTTCAGACTGTAGAAGCAGAATCAACAGAGCTTGTAATAGATTTCTTGTGTGTAAATTTCCTTTGTGAGATCGGCCTCTTGTCTACAACAAACTTTGCTTCAGTAAAGAATCACTCTGCATGGAGACAACACAGCCTGTAGCTGCTGCTGCTGCTACACCGAGTAAGTTTTGTTAGCTGCTAAAACATGTAGAGGGTTTGACTTCAGCCAGTTGGTCGAGCACTCACCTTCATGTGAAATGTTCCTGAACACTGTCACCTCTGACAGTTAATTAAGGGGGCCACAGATCACGCAGACGTGTCAGCTCAGCTACGATTGACGGCGCCGTTTGTTTACATCTCTGTTGTAATGTTGTTTTCTCGTTATATTTTTTTCCAGCAGCAGCAGCAGTACATCGCTTATTTAGTCCCAGAGTGCCTCAGGGCTTGCCATAATGATGGTAAAAGCAGTTCAGATTTGGAGGGATGAAATGTTAAAAAGGACGTGTTGGTATAATTGGTGAACCTGCCATCACAGTAAGTTTGGAAATATTTTCGGTCAGGCTGTTGGAGCACGCACACTGCCTGTTAGCCACTCTGTCATACTCTATAGGTTAGTGTCGCCATGGCTCCATTATTCTCCTCAACCTCTTCTAGACATGTTAAGTATTTTGACAAGGAGTGAAAACCAACTAAACCTGATATTATGTTAGACCGGCAGATGGAAAGGAAGCAAAAAGATGAATTCTGACACACATTTTGTAAAGTACCTCACTGAGCTGATGTCCATTAGAAGGCCAGGTGGTTGGTGTAAGGGACAGGGAGGTAAAGGATGTGGCAGCAAGACACAACACATACTCAACCAAAAAAAAAGAAGCCTGATTTTTGACCAAACTAAAGTGGGTGTTGGGTAAAGAAAAGTTTATCCTGCTTTCCTGTTTCCCAGCTTGTCTTAAAGACATTAATGAAAGGTGAGATATATGCTTGGTCAGTAGTAAAAATCTGCTTACACAGAATCTGATGGCTTTCATTAAAAAGCAGCCTTTGATTATAAGATGTTTCCATCTGAAGATAGATCTTCACCTGAAGCGATCTGGTACATTCAGAGGCCCAAAAGAGACAGGAGCTTCTGAGGCAGCAGTTTATCCTCCAGGCAGATGACAGCTAGCCCTTACTGCTGCATACGCATGTTTTTATGGGATGAGACCAACAAATCTGGCTTCTAGCTACTGTCCAATAATTAGCTTGAAAATCACTTACAGCAATACTAGTGACGTGCAAGGTTAGAATCAAAGATGCTGGTCGTGAATGAATCCTGTGGCCCACATGCCCGGCAGGTAACGCTCGATATATTCCTCTGCTCACCTTCCATGTCCACCCCTAATTGATCTGAGACTGTTCATTTTACTGTGAGATATAAGTCAGGGTTCAAGCAGCTTTTAACAGTGGTAAAGGTAGAATAAGATACAGTATATGGATGTCATCAGATTAAAAGTTCTTAACCTTTCACTTTAGCCTGGTTCTAACAACAAACATCAGGACGAGTCCAAATTGAAATTGCCTGTAGTTTGTCTGTACGACCCACTTTGTTAAATGATGGTTCACATTTTTGCTGCTGCAGCACAGGAGACACCGATAACATCTGAAACAGCTGCAGCCATAGTTTTTTGTATATTCTTACTGTCAACCCGCTTCAATTAAAGCACAGATTTACTCTGTAATAATTCCACTGGGAATAAAACAACGGTAAAATGCTTAAGGGAGCAGTACTGTGTGTGTTATAAAAGCTATAATAGGTAATGAACTGCAGTGTAGGTGGCAATTCTTATTCAATTAACAACTTCCGTAAGAGAGTGAATCTGCTATTAGCCTCTGATGCAATGTTAAAACAGATCATAACATTTTCTAACCTGCATCTTCTCCTCTTCTTCTGCAGAGACGTCAGAGTGCTTTATATGCAGGGATGTTGAACTTAAAGCCAGTGACCCACTCAGGAATTTCTGTGACTGCAAGAATTTACTTGCCCATCACGTGTGCCTGTCCACATGGATCCAGAGGGTAAGATAGTCTTTCTATGTAAAAAAAACCAATAAATTTATATTTTGAATTTCAGTGTGACTACTTTTTTCTCATCAGCCATTTGTCAGGATGTGAGGGAGGGAAAATGTCTGTGTTGGATTTCTAACCTTGAATAAATGTGCCTGCAATGTTAGCATTCGTCATTGAGACAAAACAATGCTGTTTGCCTTAAGGTAATGAGCTCTTTTTCAAATAGAAATACCAATTAATTTTAATGAGGGTTACTAACAATGATAACACGTCATTGTTAAGCAGTTGGAACATAGAGGCTGAAACAGTGAGGAGTTCTTCATAATGGACTGGAAGAAATCCAGGAAGCTATTGTTCATCAGACACCTGTCACCAAACGCATAACTGCTCATTAACATCTGTAGCACTCTTTGAGTCAAATTGTTGTATTGATACAGCAGTCACTGATAAGGTGTTTTTGCCCTTGCAGAGAAGCACTTTACACTCGTCTTAGTTAATGAAGTGTTAGTTTTATGTAGGTGGCTCACATTTCTCTTCCTGTACATCATGAAGCTTATTGTTCCTCGTGCTAATTACTCTTAACTTCATTCATCTCCAGCCAACCGCTGCTGCTGCTGCTGCTGCTGCAGCCAGATTTGTAAAAACTATATAATTGCCTCTTTTTAAGTCTTCTCCCATAAGTAACCAAAAAACAAAAGGGTGTGTTGATTTGGAAATGTAAATAACTGCCAACTTTTACATCTTAGCTCGGTTATAGGCATAAACGTTCCTTTTTTTATACGTCACATGACAAGAAGATGGACTTCAGAGGTTTTTTATGTTGCATGGATAGAAAACCAACAATATCCTTCATTGTAAAGTTGCTTTTATGGAACTGAATAGACCAAATTATGCGTAATAACAAAAGGGCCACCGACTCTCATGAACAGGACAGACACTTGTCACCAAACTCATTTTACTACAAGCCCTACATTGTTTCTTTTTTTCGTCATTCACTGTTATGAACCCTCACGGCCAACTAGCAAGAAACTAGCTTATGGCTAGCTATGTTGTGCCTTGATTAGGTTTTTCTCAAAGTATAGTGCGTTGTACAAAATGAAATTACTTGCAAAGTATATTCAGTGTTATATGCAGCTCTGACACTGGAAGGATTTGAAGTTGGCAATGCAGTCCAAATTCAAAACATTGGAGAGCCCTGTCTCCCCTGCTTCAGTGTTTAACCAGCTCTGCATCGGGTCTTGAAACCTTCCATTTTCAAAAAGCATCTCCAATATTGATCCTAGTTTGACCACTTTTCTGCTCGTTGAGCTTATTAGAAAAATGCCAAGGCTATTAGGTCGGGGAGAATCAGTTCTATCTGAACCAGTTCGCTTACCTGCTTCCATCGTTGCAACACCTGTTGGTTTCCAGTTTGCCTGACAAACCGAGGGGCGTCTAAAACGGCTGTGCCTTAAAACCGCCTACCTTCTCTGTTAAAAACAAAAACAAACCATTCAGGACCAGAATCTAAACTTTGAAGGAGGACATACTGGCTGCTGTGTTGTCAGAGAGCACTCCAACATAGCATGTTTCCTTAATGTCTGATGATATTGTAAGGTCATTTTATCATTTAGTTCAGTGGATATCTTACACATTTCCCCTTTAAATCAAAACTGGAGGAGCTGATGAAGAGGTGATTTTGGTATCAAGTGAAAATAAGTAAAATGATCCAAACTTTGGTTATAATGTATTTGACTCTGCTGAAGTTATTTTAGCAATCATATCTTAAATCTGCATCTTGCACTCGGCTTCACAGAAGGGTAAGATTTAATTGTCCAAGAGCAGCTTTGACTGGAGGTCCAGAGAGCACAAAGAGCAGGCAAACAGAAAATGCCATCAATCTGTCACTTAGAGTATGCACTTAAGGACATTATCTGTATGATGACTCTGCAAAGGGTCTGCTCGAATTGGAATTTCACACAGAGTGAAAATAATAACATCTTATGTCTAATCCTGTATCAGAACCCTCTGTATCTGTAATGTGCTCCACTGTACATAATAGATACATTAGTTAATATCACATTCTGTCATTGTGTATTAATCAAGGATAAAATGTCTGCTGTTGAAATGCTTTCTGTAGTGTGGTTCACTCCTGTAAGCTTTTGGTCTCTTGATACTCTACAAGTGGTAGACAGCGTGCTACAGCAGACCTTTCATCTGCACCACCCAGCTGTCAAAGTGAAGAGCCACTTCCATTAAGTGTGTGTCTTCCCACTATACAATTATATACAGACACACAAGCTAGCACTCATGAAGCAGACACACACACACACACAGTCCCACTCTCAGCTGAGAGCGTGTGCTGATGCTACAAGACTACTTTAGTTTTTTGTGTGTGAGGGAGGCAGACAGAGAGGGAGAGAGAGTGTGCGACCTTTTAGAGTGCTCAGGGTAGGGAGCCCCTTTCCCTTTTACAGAACAGAAATCAGCAATTGACCTGTCACTTTTGCTCTGATAGCCATCTCTGGAAAAGAGGTCATGCACATATGTCTAAAGTGCCTCTTAACCGCATTTTATGAAGCCAGAAAATGTAATCCAATAATGATTTGACTTACGGGAGAGAAAGAGAGAGAGAGAGAGTTAGCCAGCTGGGAGTGATAGCATGCACCGTTAGCGCTCCTAAAAGCATCTTGAACACAAAAGGCTAAATTCAACGGCTTTATTTAATTTGAACCACAACAGTGTCACACAGATGTTGTCACTAAACAGTGGGCACGCTGAATCCAACACAACAAAACAGCGCTGGCATTCATTTCCACAACTGTTGATACATACTTGAGTGTGTTCGCTGCAGAGGTTCAGACTATCTGAACAATTATCATCTGCACTGAGGCTAACCATACGCTATCTTTTTTTAGACTGCCTCATTTGTACCCCCCGCCCTCTCCTTCCCAAGTTCCCAAAGACAAATAGCGTGGCGCAAAACTAATTAGTAACCAGGAACTAGTTAGAAGATGCCCTTTGAAAAACATGTCCTGAGGCAGGATTTAAATATAGGGACAGAGTCAGTGACTGAGTGTGCCTTGGAGATCCTGGCCTCCAGGCGAGGCAGCACTCTGACCCCTGACCCTCATTATAGGGAGTGCATTCCTAGAGGGGTGAAACCCCTCGCAGCACAAAGTACAAGGGCATGACAGGACTGTATTGCTCGAACCGCACCAGCCGATTGTGGCCTGGTGTGTCTCACTGCCTAACCCAACGACGGCTTGAGAAGATACAGAGCAAAGATGCAGACCTTTTTGGAAAGTAATGCTGTACACTCGCTATCCCAACAGATAAATATGTTTTCCATTTTATTACAGCTGGTTTCAATCCAGTGCAGTTATTGGTAATAGTATTCTGCTGTGATCTCATCCATCAGAAATAAAACACATAGTAGTAGGAAAAAGGCAGTGAGAAGAGAGCTGAGGAAAATGCTAACAACTTAGCAGCTAAATATAGCACTGATTTGAGAGTTTACAAAAGTGTGAACAGATGAAAAACATAATGACAAGTTGACATGCTGACATGGATTTGATGTGTTTTTCAAGTGTGATGTTAGTGGGTTTGTGCATGTGTGACAACCGCTAGTACGCCCTTGACTGTGAGTGTGCATGCTTACATTTTCCCTTTAATTGCAAGTGGTGTGAAGAGTGAGTAAAGCCCCCCCCTCACTCCTCTTGTCCTCTCCTACTCTGTCTCTCTCTCATGGGTTGATAATTCTCATCACTGCAAACAGACTTGGTTTACATTCATTAGCCCAACACTCACAGCAATCAGGCCACAGTGCCAGGGGCAATGGTCCTCTTTATAAAATCACATTGCCTAATAGCAGTGTTCTATAATTATATGCCATTAACATCTATCAAAGTGGGCTCCTACATGCAATGCATATAAGCAGTGGCTTTGGCAGTTTGTGTTTGTACAAATGCTTTTTCTTGTTAATGGCATCTCCAGATAGTTAGCACCGGCTTGAAGATTGTTGTCAACATGTTATTTTTGTTTCATGTGCACTTCTGTGATGTCGAGTGGAACATTAAGTGCATGCATTAAAACAACATCCACTAATGCAGGAAATGTCCAAACTATTGATAACGAGAGTCTATGGTGGTCAACATTGTAGAAAACATAAAAACACTCATGTGATGGTTTGGTAGTTTTTTTTTCTGGAGCTACAGTTTTGTGTTTCATGAAATGTTCTTGTGTATTTCACTTTCATTCAATGTTTTTTGAATTGTTGCTTTTTTCCCTTTAATGTGTCTTTGAACGTTTTTCTTCAGTCCTTGTGTTTTTTTAAATGTTTTTCTTAAGTGTTTTGTTGAATGTAGACTTTTTTTTGTAATGTTGTGTTTTTTCTTTTTCTTTAAATACTGTCATGTTTAATCTTTGCTGTGTTTATGATGTATTGGGGTTTCTGTCTATGATTTGTGAACAGTCTTTCTGTTTTCTTTGTTTTTTCTTTCTGAAAATGTGTTGTTTAGTGAAATCTTCATTTTTATATTATCTTTGTTTCTTTGTTGTTATTATTTTCTGCACTTGCACCGTTAAGTAAAAAAAAATCATGTTTTTTGGGGGCTAAAGGCCACCATACTTAGCAGGCTTTAGGCTTTGTAGTTACATAAGCATTATTACCTAATGCACCTTTTGAGCTGAGGATGACTTTTATTTATTTAATTTTATTTCATGTTTATTTGTAAATGGAGTAAGTAACCCGTTGCTAAACACTACAGCCTTAGATATTTTGCAATGGCCGTCCCTAGATGGGCTTTTATCACGTGTTCTAAACAGCTATAACTTCTTCTTCTTGTTCGTCACTTATTTATTTTATTCCGAAATCTGCTTTTGAATTGTTTTTTTGATGGTTGACTGTCACTAAATGTCTTTTAAATGTTGTTTCTTTACAGGGATGTGGGAGTGAAGACAAGCTGCAGTGCATTGTCTGCAAAGCCAAGGTAAGTCAGATTTTTACTCATGAGGCCAAAATCATGAATCACAATTTTCTTCAGGAGGCTTTCAAATCTGTACAGCCTCTTTCTGTGATCTTGTGATGTTGGCAAGGAAAAAACTCCCACAGACACAAAGAAAGATATAAAGTAAGAAAGACGAGACCTCAGGAAGGATTAAAAAGATTTAATGAGACATTCGATGATGTCTCATTCTTTTAATCTGCTTTCGTGAAATGTACATAACACATTTAAACAAACACCATTTAAGTCATTAAACAGTGGCTGCATCTCACAAAACAGATTGAAGCAGAGCAGATCCATAATACTAATGAGCAATCAGGTCTTTGTTTTGCTCTGTGATTTAGTTGATTTGCTAGCAGTTGTGTTGCTTATGAGCTGTAAGCTGTCTTTTATTCCTTATTATTGCAGCAGAACACTCGCTGTGGAGAAGAAGGGAGAAACATTACAATATTTGGCAAAGGATATAAGCCATGTAATGACAAAATCTGTATTCATTTCATGAGCAGAAATTAATCACGCCTTCCTGTGGTACATTCCTAATGCAAATTCTCCATGAACACATTGTGTCTTGTGTTTGTGGCTTTCTTCGTCTGAAACGGTGGGGCTGATGTGTCATCACAGATGGGGTTGCAAGCTGGATAAGGTGTCCACATTACTAACCATCTGAGATTAGAGAGTATGCTGTTGATGTGTTGTATGTATTCATGCTTGTGCTGTGGGTCAAAGCATCAAAAGCTGGCGACTGAGTGTTTTATTCATTGTTTGCTCTGCGGCAGCGGGTTGAAAATGTGATCTTTGCCGTCTGTGCTTGTGTCTATGCATGAGAGGGAAGGAAATGTCACAGTTACTCTTGACAACGACCTTTGAGGATTTTAAGATATTTTAAACATGAAATCACGCACACATTCAGAGACATACACTGATGAAAGTTAAATGAAACATTTAGTCTGAAAGGAAGTCCCCTCTGACTGTGTTTGTCTCCATTTGGAGCTGGATTGTAACATGTCTCTATTAGATGAACTCTTGGTGTTGTTTGGATCTGCAGGTTTTTAAAGTTGAACTGTAATGGGGTTTTTTTATTTGCTGAAAATTTAAACTAAAATGGTATTTTGATCATTTTGAATATTTAGAAATTTTTATTTAAAAAAAAAGATAGAACATTTTGTAATTAATCATTCTCTATTTGTATAGCTCCAATTCATAACAAATGTTATCTCAAGACATTTTTCAAAAGAGAATGGGAACGACCTCTGTTATATATTATATAATGTTGTCGTTGTTACAAAGAGCTGACATTAGCACAAAGCTACATTTATCAAAGTTACAATGGTTAGGAAAGACTTCCTCTAAGAGGCAGAAAACTCAAGCAGAACCACACTCATGTTGACCAGCCGTCTACAGAAACTGGTTTTAGACTGTTTTTTAATGCACCATTTGGCTTCAATGCCTTGGAAGCATTTGACATCTTTGACCTGAACCAGGGTTGCTCAGAGACATTTTGAATCCATGGATCCAGAATCGTTTTGAGTGGAATATAGAGTCTGAATCAAATCGTAACCCAAAGAATTGAAATTGAATCGGATCAAATAGTGAGACACCCAAAGATTCCCAGCCCTACTTGTAATGTGAGTCATTGGCAGCTCCTACATATTGTTGAATTAGTAAAGGAGAAGTTCCTGATGTCTGTCTGGTATTCATGTGTTTACAACCATAAATCAAATCAAACTTTGTCATTTTACAATGCAACAGCTGAAGGCAGAATGAGAAGGCACTTCCCAGGGATCTCTCATCCACTAAAGACAGTGTCCTGCATGACATCATCACTGTCAAACAGCTTACTGAACAATGTTCTGTATGTTACACAACGTGATTCAATTCATGGCATGAAATAACACTACCAAGCAAAAATATCAGCACTGTTTAATTTCTGGGTCAGAAATATAGCTAAACATTTTTAGTGCCCACACAGGAAATCCGCGGTCAGATGAGAGTCAGAAAAACAATGCCCCCTGGAAACCGCTTACACAGGAAGCTGTCACTTCAGAGAAACAAAGATAACATAAATAACTTACTCTTGGTGACTTCACCAAACAAAAAGTGTAAATAAACAGATATTACGCATTTCCTGATTTCTTTAGGGAAATTATTCTTCCTTTCAGTCGACTAGGATTGTCACAGCACCAGAATTTTAAACTGGGAGATGATTCTAGTAAATATCAAATCATATGGAAACCTATTTTAATAGCATGGCAACAAAAATATAGTCCTATGTTCTTAAAACTGGGTAATTCCTTAGGAAATACGTTGTCAGTGGTTCAGTACTGGATTTTGCAGCAATTGGTTAAAAAAAAATACTGGAGATCTGAAGTTCTTTGAAAGATTCAGTGCTTTTTGATACAATGGATCAATAAAATAACTGAGAATGTTTTGTTTGAATTCATGTGGTATCAAAGTATTGAACATTTTGACAACCTTGCAGTCCACAAAAGAACAAAACATCCTGTGATTTTATACTGTATCAAATTTATAATGCAATCAGTGTTTCCCACAGGATTTCATGAGACTGTGGTGGGGGGACACCGAACCCTGTAGGGGGGTCCAGGGGCATGAACCCCCGGGAGAAAAAATGTGTACATTTTAAAGTTAGATGCATCAATTTTGTGCAAAATTAAGAGGTTAAATGTATCAAAAACTTTGTTCTCTTCTAACAATTTTGTGCTCTTTAAGTGCACAAATTGTCAAAACATAAAATCCAATGCCCATGGAAGTTAAATGGCTTTAGGCTTGGCCCATAGAGACCCTCAAGCAGGCATACTGTTCCTACTCCTCTTTCAGTATTGATAACCGCTTCTTTCCAGCCTCTTGTCCAAATTTGGATAATTTCTCCACAACATGCTTCTATTTGATGACGTCATACAGTTTGCTGTACAAAAGCATATTTTATAAATTAATCGTAATGTTCAGTATTATAAATATTTAGAGTATTAACAGCAGCTCAAACGATTTAAGAAAATTCCAAAATCAAAACGTTCAGACGTGGTTTATGACCAGTTTTTATAGTTTTTAATAAGCAGGGAGGGTGACGTGCAGACGCACAGACAGAGGACCACTCAGCGCACATGAGCAGTTCGGACGCCATCAGTCTGTTTACAGAGACTGCAGTCTGCAATGAAGTTCACATACTTGACTGGTAAACATGTAAACTGTAGAGCAGATGATCAGTTTAACTTTTTGTTTCTTGTCCGTCCACTTACATGCGCAATTCCGGACTCTCGCTCGCCCATATAACTCTCTCTCTGCCTCTCAAGTGCGGTCCGCGGACCCAACTTTATCTTTAAATGCACGTTTTTGACATAATGAGGAAGAGAACCTCTTGAAAAAAGGTCTGATCTAATGTTTAGACTCATAAGTAAACTTTAAGTGCAGTTTTTCAAGACAACAGGCGAGCTGCGGAGCTGCGCGGCGTCTTTAGGTGAAATGGATTTGTTCCGCGCTTTCATAAGTTGTTTTGCAGGTTCAAAAAGATTATTCAGCTAGAATTTCAATATTTAGGTTTACAACTAGTTATGCTGCTTTGTCTGACAGGGTGATCAAACGTCTTTGATTGATTGTGTTTAAAAACTCCGAAACCTGCGCAGCGATTGAAAAGCTCTGAACGGCTGTGAGTTGTAACACTCTGCAGGAGTTAAACAAGGTACGGACCGTTTTAGGGAACGGACATAAAAACAATCACACATTCCGGTGTAGGCTACTGCAGCCACACATCACATTTAACGGGGTAAACTGTACTTTAAATCTAAAAAAAAAAGTTCTTGTAGTTGATAATAATTCCCTGACTCTAGCATGGCAAATTAGACTATGGCGCGACAGATTAGACTATGGCGGGCCGCCACAGTCTAGTTAATTAATGGGAAACACTGGCAATGGTCCAAATCCAAAATAAACTTTTTTTCCAATGCCATAGTATTTATCTGCTTTTCAAAAGAGGTCTCACATATATATCTCGAGGTTGTTGAAAAGTATCATGAGCTGTTGGGCCAAGCTGAAAACTCTCACTTGATTGTAATAATGTAACTCAGTGTTTTATGGGAAGCCATTTTTTTCTGTTTCCCTGTCAGTTTTTTGCTGCAGGCAAACAAGTTTTCAGGTATTAAAGCCATCTCTGCTGTTCTTTTACCTAAGAGGGGACAATTCTTACACTTCCTCACTAGCTCCAACTGACCGATACACTTGTCTTGGTCCATTGTACCGATGGGATGGTCATCAATTATTAATGTGGAGCAGTAAAAGTCTGAGAGACATCCCACTGAGTGACCAAACAGCCATGAACAGGGTTAGTGGCAGTGGCCTGGTGAATGCTGTGAATGGCAGCTGTGCCATTTAGAGAATTATTGTAGCAAAGTTGCTGCTGTGTATTGATATGAACTTTGCTGCATTAAGTTAATGCATCAGTATAATAACATTTTAATGTCTGCAGTGGCACGGTCATTTAATACTTCTCCACAGAGAGATGTAGATGTAGATCAGCATGATGATAGTGATAATCATTTGGTCCTGTGCTGCTATCACTCTTTAATGCGTAGCTGCAATCACCCTTGGTTAACATTAAAAAGATTTTACCATTAGGACTTTGAGCAAGCGATGCTCATTACAGTCCACAGTTTAATGTGGCAGCCATTTTTTGTTTCTTGTTGATGCTTCTTTTCCTGTTGTCTTCCCTCTTTGCAACAGGGTTTCAAATGTGGGCCATTTGTATGAGTTATGCTAATTTGTTGGGGCAATGAATGCATTAATTTCATTAGCACATGGCCTCAAAGCAATAATTACCAGAGTAGGTGTGTCACAAGCAATCATGTTAAAATTTGCCAGTTAATTATGAAGATTTTGTTCTGAGGGACCTGGATTTGACATGAGTCGCCGAGGGAAAAAAAGAGAGAGGGGAAAGTTAATGCATTCCAGTGGCCGAGGCTAGGTGCTTGTTGTTG